TTTTCGTCTTACACTTGAGGGTTATCTCAAACAAGCATTTATTGATCAACAACTATCGGCGATCATAGCTTATCTACGTCCGGGTATTAATGCTGTTCAATTAACTTCTTCAAATTCACAACGATCTGGAAATACGACAAAAATTCAAATTGAATTAACAATTCGAATTGAACAAATGAATAATAATAATAATAATACAAATGAAGAAAGATCAAAATCAAAACAAAAATCAATTGAACAAATTAATGAACAATGTTTTATTGAATTAAAAAAAGAATTGAAAAAAAATTTTGGTATTTCTTCTTATTCAAATGTCATTTCAGAACAAAAAATTAAAGAATTAGTTAAATTAATGCCATAAATACTCGAAAGCGTTTTTTTTCTGAAAAATTATTGTATTATTTTGTAATTTTTAGTCGAACAAAAGAGAAAATGATTAAAAATGTACATGAAATAACCGAAGAATTATATAAACAACATGATTTTAATCGTTTATTACGTATTTTACAACGTTTTGGAAGTCAACGTGATGAAATTAAACGAAAGGATTCAATACAAAATTCATCAGATAGTGAAGATAAAATAGATTTTTCTTTAGATTTTACTGATCGATCAATGTATGATAAAAAACGACCAATGACATCTGTTATAACAACGACAATTACAAAACGAAAAAGAGGACATGGTAGTAGTTTTTAAGTGTATTTTTTTATTTTCTTTGTACAGTGAGAATGTTTTATTTATTATTATTATTTTGTACTTTGTTGTATGATATTCTAAAAAGATTGATTTATAAATAAAACAACGGATTAATAACTTCTATTTAATGTAACTTCCTAATTAGTTCTGATTCAAAGTGATGAATATCATAAAGTAATTTTTATTTGCTATCGAAGGAAGAACCTCAACGAGTGTCGTAAACAATAAAGAACGAGACACAGCATATAGATGTTATTCTGTCCTCTCTTTTCTCAATCCTTATCTCGACCGTCTTCTCGCACTCTCACAAAAAGTAATATTAGCCTCACTCTTCATGATAAACCTTCGCTCTGCCACAATCTCCGATGTTGAAGCTATTCTCCGTGTTCACTATGCTGCTGTTCACGGACCAGCAACCTCAACCTTCTATACACAAAATATTCTTCGAAATTGGTCCCCTTCAGCCACAGACGAACGTCGTCTCAATCAATTACATCAAGCGATACAGAACAACGAAGAACTAATTGTGGTTGCCGTGTCGAGCGAGAACGGTATGATCGTCGGATTCGGTTCCGTCATTCCCTCTCAACAAGAGCTTCGTGCAGTCTATGTCGATCCAGCGTTTGCTCGTCGAAGTATTGGAACGAAGGTTTTAGCAACTCTTGAAAAACTCGCTATACAACACGGTGCACATAAACTGCATCTGGATGCCTCAGTAAATGCTGAAACATTTTATTATCATCATGGATATTCAGTGGTAGATCGTGGTAGTCACAGATTAAACTCAGGTATTGATATGGACTGTGTTAAAATGAGCAAAGACCTACGCGCGCATTTATGATAGAATTTTCGTCTTGACGCTAAAGGTGAGAAACGCAATCGGAAAACATTAAAAGAGACTTCACAAAAGGACCGTCCAAATAAATAATGGTTGTCTGGAAGCAGATTTTTAATTTTGACCATTCATACCTTGTTTCAAAGCTCATAGTGTGCACATACAAACGTCAAAACGTTAGATTGTCACAAGAGAATCTCTGAGGCGATAAAATGCTTTCGAGACGCAACATCTCTCTCATGACTGAATGAAGAATATGAGCGTTAATCGAGAGAGCAAATAAATTATACACAGGAAATTCAAGAATATAATTAGTCAAAATGGGTCCACGACTCATTTTCCTTAATATAAGATTTTGTTTTAGCTATTTGAATGCATTATATATATATGACTAAACTATTACACAAAATATCGACCATAGATAAAATAATTTTTCTGTATCCCAAGGGTGTGGGTGTGGGTATGTGGAAGAAGAAAGAAACCAATTCACATACCCACACCCACATCCTCACAAATGGCTTGATCGATTGAGTTCAAATTTTTTGTAGACATATAACTCAATGGGTTGTAATTAGAATAGAATTTTTAACTTACAACTATAAGCTCTTCATTTTTTTATGACTCATCCAATATTTCAAAAAATTCAGGGTGAGGGTGTGGGTTTTGATGAAGAGAGGATAAACACTCACACCCACCCTACTGAACTAATCATGCTGTCCCACAAATACAACTCGCACTCGCATCAAAGTATATAGCTAGCTATTCATTAATATGCTATTATGCACAATATCATCGTGTTGAGAACAACGAATCTACCAAAGGCCAGAATAAAAACGAAGTCTTTTCATTCTGGCCAAACAGTTATAGACATACACAGCTATGCCTTCTTTGCTGTTGAATGTTAAATCAACTTTGAAAAAGAAATTTAATTTAATTTAAACTAATCATCAAAAAGAGAGAAAGCAACAAAAACAGCACGAAATTTGTTGTTACCATGAGAGTTGTCATTGTCC